AAAGAAAGTAAATTAAATTGTGCAAATACTAATGATGGCTCAAAAATAGACTAAAGGAAAAAATATAATATTAAACTTAAATGGATTGGTGCAAATAAGGGCAATGAATTGAGTAATTAGAAATGGATATATTCTTGGACCTAGTAATTAGGGAAATTAAAACTAAAATTGGACTAATAATTTCTTTCCTCATAGACAAGAATAGAAACTATTTTCATTAATTTATCCTATTTCTAGGTGTCATTAATGTGTTCAAAAATGGTTGGCTTGAATTAAATTCTAACCTCATAGACAAGGTAGAAATAATTCTCCAATATTTTAATTAATAAAAATAGCCGAATTCATTAACTAGTTAAACTCATTATTTAAGCAATTGAATTTATCTCTCATAGACAAGATGTAAATCCCTTTCATTAAATTATCCTATTTCTAGGCCTTATTAATGTGCTTGAATATGGTTGGCTTAAATTATTTTCTAATCTCATAGACAAGTTAGAAATAATTTTCCAAGAATTTAATTAATGAATATGGCTAACAATTATTAATTACTATTTCATCATTTCAAACAACTAGTCCAAATTATTAATTTTAATCCCTAATTTTCGGTCAACAAGTCAATCCATATTCCTTTAGTCAATTCATGCCCAAAACAAATTTAGCTAATAAACATCATTTTTTCATTTAACAATACAATGAATAAATTCAACATTAACAAGGAATTAAGCATGTATAATAGCAAAAATTAAACAAAAATAATATTCTTCCAAAATAAACTTGTAGAACTAAAATATCACCTTCTGGAATTTTTCCCGAATTTTATAACCTAAAATCCAATTTTAACAACTAATTGATAATTTTCCCAATATTAACTAGAAAATACAAAAAGCAACTAAAATTATTTTAAATTCGTTCTAAATTTTATATTGAATACTAGGAGTGATATTACTGTGAATTTAACTGGAATTAGGACAGAAACTAATTTTTTTCCTTTTTTGAGTATTTAATTTAATTTATGCAATAATAACAACTAAATGCCGGAATTAATTAAAATTTACTTCTACTTCGTAAAAATTAACTTTGTTTTGATAAATAACTACCTTGAGGCTAGTAAACAACTATATAATTAATTGGAATGGATTTAATGTCAACAACTATTTTATTCAAATTTAAGACGAAAATGCGAAATAGTTGAATAATTTTCTGGAAATTTTAGAAGCACAGATAGAAAAAACTAAGTACAGATTCAGATTCTACTCATTGAAAGGATGAAAATACATATAAAGAACTCACAATTTGGAGCTAAAATGAGAAAGATATGAAAGATTGAAGTTGAAGGTGCAACAATGGTGGAAATCCGAGCTTTGAGGAGGAAGAAGACGCCCTTTTTGATCTGATTTGGGCTTGAAATTGGTGTGTTTGAGTTGAGGAAAAAGCCTGGTTTTTATAGCAGAAGAAATCCCGAAGGCGCCCGGGCAGGCGGCCGCCTTCTGGCAGCCTCTGGCCGCCTGCCGTCCTGTCGCCGGCAGACCGTCGGTGGCCGGTCTCCGTCAGCCGTAGGCGGCCACAGAGGGCGGCCGCCTTCTGTCACAAATGGCCGCCTGCCGTCTTTTCGTTGGCAGATCGGATCCCGGCGGATCCCGGCGGATCCTGGCCGCCGCAGGCGGTCCAGCAGGCGGCCGCCTGCCGTCCTGTCTGGCCGCCTGCCGTCCTGTCTGGCCGACCGGTGGTTGGTTTCGTCCCCTTGTGCCGCAGGCGGCCACCGTAGGCGGCCGCCTTCTGTCCAGTGTCGGCGGCCTACGGTCTTTTCCAAATTCGGTCAAAGTCAAAGGTTGACTTTCCAAAAATACCGTAGGCGGCCGCGAAGGCCTCCATTTTGGCCGCCTGTTCGGCCGCCTGTGAGATTATTTGTCCGGCTTGTTCCTTGTTTTGTGCTCTTCAATATTGTCTTCTGGACCACTTTGAAATAATGTTTCCTTCTTTCGGTATGATATCATTTGTTGCCCATATTGGCTCATTTTGTGCTCAATTGACCCGAAATCCCGCTAAACATATTATGGATGTGATTTTTACCTGATTTCATGAAACTTGAACCAAAATATATAAAATGTGTCTTTTCTTCCTATTTTCATTCAAAAATTGCTTAAATTTGATAAGAAAAATAAGTACAAAAAATGGACTTATCAATGAAGAAGGCCAATACCTTTCAATGGACCCCGGAGTGCCAGGCTGCTTTCGAAGATTTCAAGGTATATCTCTCCTCTCCGCTCGTCCTCACCAAAGCGGATCCCAGGGAGAGATTGTACATGTACTTGGCAGTAGCCGATCTGGCCGTAAGTGCCGTGCTGCTGAAGGAATCTGAAGGCGTTCAACGGCCAATATACTTTGTAAGTAAGGCGCTGAACGGTCCCGAGACAAGGTACACATTGATGGAAAAGACGATCCTCGCCTTGATTGCATCCATCAAGCGCCTGGCGCCGTATTTCCAAGCACACCCGGTGACTATCTACACGACGCAGCCCCTCGCCACAGTCCTCAGGAACCCAATGGCAAGCGGGAGGATAACCAAGTGGTCCTTGATGATCGGCCAGTATGACGTGGACTTCAAGCCAAGGCCGACGATCAAAGGACAGGCTCTGGCGGACTTCATTGCGGAATGCACCGCGCGCACCGAGGACGAATCCCATGACAACAACGACTTTGACAATTGGTGGGAGATGTACACCGATGGGGCCTCGAGTGCGCGGGGCTGTGGCGGAGGAGCGGTGATCACTTCCCCCGAGGGTTTCAAAGCCTACTACTCTATGAAATTTGAGTTCAAGGTCACCAACAACGAGGCTGAGTACGAGGCGCTTATCGCAGGGCTGAAATGCGCGAAGGCCCTCGGAGCAGCTCGTCTGAAGGTGAGGATGGACAGCCAGCTGGTGGTAACTCAGATGAACGGCACCGCAGAAACCAGGGAGGAAAGGATGAAGGTTTACAGGGAGTTAGCGGAGGAACAGACCGCTCAGTTCGAGCAGGTGATCCTTGAGCAGGTATCACGGGTGGAGAATGCAGAAGCGGACATATTATCAAAGCTAAGCAACCCCCCAACTGATGATCCGGCATCAAGCATCCCCCGCCACATCAGAGGCTTCGCCAGGCAGGAAGTATTCCCAGCACCGGCGACGGACGTCATCCAGGTAGAGGTTATCTCCATCGCCGAACCCAACTGGGCGAAGGAGATAGCAGATTACCTCAGGGATGGAACACTCCCCGAGCCCGATGAGGAGGGCAACACAGGAAGAGCTGCATGGATAAAGAGGCGTGCCCCTAACTTTGAACTTATTGACGGGCACCTCTACAAGAAGACATTCGGCGGACCTTACCTCAGGTGCCTTCCGCCGAGCCTGGCAGCAGCGGTGATCGAGGAAATACATGAAGGGATCTGCTCCAGCCACCAGGGCCCCCGAACCTTGGCCAGAAAAATCATCCTGCAGGGCTATTACTGGCCGACCATACAACAAGATTGCTTCAACCACACTCGGAAGTGCGCGGTGTGCCAACAGTATGCGCCTGTCCCTGGACGTCCGGCGAGCTTCTACACCCCGATGACCATCGCACTACCCTTTGCCAGGTGGGGCATAGATTTGCTGGGCCCTCTGCCGACGGCCGCCGAGGGAAGGAAATTCGTCATTGTGGCGATTGATTATTTCACAAAGTGGGTGGAGGCCGAACCACTCGCCTCCATCACTGAATTCCAGTGCCAGAAGTTCGTCTGGCAAAACGTCATATGCCGCTTCGGGATCCCGGAGCAGATCGTCACCGACAACGGCCGGCAGTTCGTCGGCAGAGGATTTGAGGCGTATTTGGCAAAGTGGGGCATCAGGCACTCTAAGGCCTCGGTGGCCTACCCGCAGGCCAACGGCCAGGTGGAGAACATGAACCGGACCATCATGGATGGGATCAAGAAGAAGTTGGAAGACTACACCTCCACCTGGCCGGAGCAGCTGAATTATGTCTTGTGGACGTACAGGACGACGCCAAGAACGGCGACCGGGGAAACCCCTTTTGCCTTGGCTTATGGGTTCCAAGATAAGGTGCCGACGGAGGTGCTGGTACCTACGCATCGCACCAAGCACTTCCAGCCGGAGGATAACGAGACCAACCTACGAGCGGAACTCCATTTCATTGAGGAACGGAGGGACCTAGCGGCTCGTCGCATGGAAGAGTATCACAGGCCGGGCCACCCAGAGATACTTCAACAAGGCCGTAAAATTCCGCGAAATAGAGGTTGGGGACCTCGTACTCAGGAAAAGAGAGAAGAGCAAACCGCTCGAAGGTGGCAAAATGGCAAAGAACTGGGAAGGACCTTACCGGGTCATCCGAAGATACAACCAGGGGACGTTCCTCCTCCATACCCTGGAGGGGAACCATGCCGGGATGTGGAACGTAGAACACCTGAAGAAGTTCTATCAATAGTTAGGGGCTGTTGTCCTTGTATTATTCCCACTACATGTAAAATGACCGGACGTCGTCAATAATAAGGCCCCCTGTTTTTCATCACTTCTGTTCTTGCCAACAACCGTTAAAGGAGGGAATCTCGATGCAGATAAACCTGTTCCTCCTTGCGATGTCTACGGATACCGAACGTCTCCTCGAAGTAGGGACGCCGGTAGGACCAAGGACCAAGGACGAACGAAGCACCAGGGAATCTCGATGCAGATAAACCTGTTCCTCCTTGCGATGTCTACGGATACCGAACGTCTCCTCGAAGTAGGAACGCCGGTAGGACCAAGGACCAAGGACGAACGAAGCACCAGGGAATCTCGATGCAGATAAACCTGTTCCTCATTGAGATGTCTGCGGATACCGAACGTCTCCTCAAAGTAGGAACGCCGGTAGGACCAAGGACCAATGACGAACGAAGAATATAGATTGCCTCCCCCCCCCCCAAAAAAAAAAAAAAAAAAAGAAAAGATGGGGAGAAGAGGAGAGTAGCTCCTACGCGGAAGGGAATCTTGCCCGGGCGTGCCAGATCTTCCCCCACCGCCGAAGACGAACGCCTCTCGATGCAGAGGTTAGTAGAGACGTGGAGGGGGCTAGACGAACCAAGGGAGCCTGCCAAGATAAACCTGTCTATCCCACAAATGACCATGGATCGATGGACGTGGGATAACAAAGTCGGGAACCCGTGAGGGTAAACCTGTTCGTCCCTGCGAGTTCCTTGGGTACCGAACGTCTTCTTCGAAGCAAGAGACGCCGGTAAGACTAAAAGGACCACGGACGAACGAAAAAAGGGGGAATCTCGATGTAGATAAACCTGTTCCTCCTTGCGATGTCTGCGGATACCGAACGTCTCCTCGAAGTAGGGACGCCGGTAGGACCAAGGACCAAGGAAGAACGAAGACTAAAAGACTCCAAAAAAAAAAAAAAAAGATGCCAGAAGAGCATGGAGCAAAGAATGATTTTTATTCTTCGGCACTATTGGCCGGAAAACTACAATGTGCGAAGGTACAATGCAAATAATGGAAAAAATTGTACAAGTACAAGGTAATGAGCGGAGAATCACTGCCGATTGACGTCCGGGGCTGGAACTTGGGAAAGAGTCTGCTTGGATTTTTCACTAGCTTCGGCTTCCGCCTGCTCCTTCAGCAGCTCGAGGGCCCCCGCATGAGCATCCGCCATCAGAACATCAAAGCCAACCGCCTCCGGATCGAAAGGAGCCCCGAAGTGACGCTCGAACGTGGGGAGATTCTCCGCTACGAGCCCAACCATGCCCTTGCGATAGGTATCATCGGCAAGATCATCAAGGAAACGCCGTCCGGTGGGGGTGGCCTGGAGCAATTTGACCCCATCCAGATAGGCGTCCGGGCAGGTGGCTAGAAATTCTCCGACGAGCCTCGAGAGAAACTTCATGGCCATGGTGTGGATGGCACCAGTGTAAGCTTTGGATTTCTGGAAGGCAATGGAACCAGATTCCTTAATCTTGGCAACATCGGCTTCGTAGATAGGAACATGATTGTCCACGCCTGTCCGGCGGAGTTCCACCTTGGCCTGATCTACGGCCCACATCCGACTGCGAAGATCCACAAGCTCGGCCTCCTGTTTCTTAAGGAGCTCCTTCTGAGAGGCATTCTCCTGAACGAGCTTGTCATAGGCGTCGGCTTTCTCTTGAAGAGTTCCAGCCCTGCCTTTTGCATTCCTCAGAAGGGCATCACATTCGGCCCGCACCCTGGCCATCTCCCTGCCCTGATGCTCGAAGGCCATCCGAGCCCTGTGAAAGTAGAGCCCGGCCTTATCCAGTGTGCTCTGGCCGCACTCCAAGAGATCTTCAGGGGCCTCCTGAGCAGCGAAATCCTGCGGGACCTTGAGATTCAGCCCACACCAGATGGAGGATGCTGTCTGGCCAAAGAGCATCATAGACTCCTTGCGGGGGCCAACCCCAGAAAACTCGATCAAGCCAAGAGAAGACTCACTGGCTCCTGGGGGAAAGTTTGGACGGGCGTCGTCAGAACCTTTGGCGGTTGGGGTACCATCATCCCGGAGACGGCGGACGTCGGAATTCCTCGGAGGAGAGGCACGGAGATTGGTCCGGGGAGTGCGCTTCCGCTTGAGGGGACTTCCGGGCTCCCCATCGGAGTCATCAGCCACGATGATGGCCTTGGAGGAGGTGCCCTCAACACGCGGCTTCTTGGAGGCGCCGGCCCCCGAAGCATCATCAGCTCGTGCCCTAGTTACCCGAGGTTCGACCTTGGGGACAAGCGGCTTCCCGGGCTTGTCATGCCCCTTGTGCTCACGGCCGGCGGCAGTCGAAGCGGCGTTGACTCGGCTCATGGTAGACGTGGATGGGAAAATGCCTGCACAAAGGGAACCAAGACGTTCAGAGCCATAACAGCGAAGAGAGGTTAAAACAAGACAAGTACAAACGGACGCACCTAATCCAGCCCGAGCTTTAAAGGGCTCGGCCACCAGCAACCGGAGGTTCTGGATGCCAAGTCCGGCTATGCGCTTGGCATATCCGAGTTCCTCGTCCGTCATGGGTGGTGGAATCGTCTTCACCGGGTAAGCATTCCACCGGTCAGAGAATGGCATCGGTGAGCCTACCCCGGCCAGGAAGAAGCGCTCTTCCCAACCGTCCGGATTCCCAGCATTGTTCGAAAATAGGACCATGGACGGACGGGCGATCAGGGTCAGATACCCTGTGCGCCCGAAGGGGGACAGCCGAAAGAAATGGTGCAGCAGGTCCACGGTGGGGGTCACACCGACGCTGTGGCATCTAATGATGAAGCCAGCGATTATCCGATAAGCGGCAGGGACGAACTGCGCGGGCACTATCCCAAGGGCCCTGAAGAGCTCCAAGTGGAAGCTATGTAAGGGAAAGTTCAGCCCGGCTATCACCGAATCCAAGTGGACCACCACATAGCCGGGCAGATGGCGCATGGGGTTGCGCAGACGCCGATCGTCGTAGGTCCTTGGAGGATAGAACCATTGGCTGATCAGACGCTTGTCAGCATTCGTCAGGCGTTGAACTTGACGCCGAACGTACGAGAAGCTGAGGCTATAACGGGGAGGCCAGGGCGGCATTCCCCGCTCATAGTATTCTAAGTCGTCGCCAGAGGAACAACCATCGTCGAAACGAGTTTCAGAAGACATGGCAATGAACGGTACCTTGGAAATCTGAGAAAGGAACTCTAGAGAGAGGAAGCAATTGTGCAGCGTAAGGAGAAGTATGAATGAACCACATGGGCTCTGGGTACTTATAGGCAGCACCGTGGAAACACGCCAACCGAAGTGGGACACGTGGCGCCTGGGTACCGGTACCTACCACGGTATTTAAGGTGCCTCGATTCCGTCGCCACATAATCTTGGCAGGGGTGGCTAGATCGGAGCCACGAACGTCCGGCGGGGAACTCGGGACGCCCGGAGATCACGACCATCGGCCGTCCCTAATATCGGCGGTTAGTGGGGGACATATGCATCAACGGGCTACGTTCGTCTTTCCATACTTCATGCCATTTGAACATGTAGAACAAACGAACGTCCCCATACGTGGCTTGAATGATCATGCCTCACGACGGCAGACGAACGTCGTTACCGGACGATGACTCTGGGAAGCACGTGAGTGTGCATCCTAAGCCACCGACGAACGTCGTTCCATTGTCAGAATACTTTGAGGACGGTAGGCCGGCATCAGAGCCCTGCATCGACGCCCGAAGACGGGTTTGAGCAGTACCTCCGCACACTTAAGTACGTACGGAGGTTTGGCAAGGGGACGCCGTTGCCTTAAGCGAGTAAGGAACAGATACGAACGTCCTTGCGACAAAGTGTATCGAGGCGCCGAAGGAGTTCCCGTACAACAGACAACGAAGGGAACGAAAGTAAGAATAACGAAGTAAAGATCATGAATGTAGAGACAATTTGGGCAAAAAAGGCGTATATTCTTCGGCTCTAACGGCCGGGCATTACAAACGCAAAATGAAAAGAGTACAAACTACATTTACACCATACAAGGGGACTCAGGCCGGCTGCCTCCCGGAATCTGCTCCTCCTCTTCAGCTTCGGGCTCCGGGGTCGGGGGTTCGGGAATCTCCCCTCTGGCCTTGGCCTCCTCCCTGCGCTGATCTCTCGCCAGCTTCGCTAGGGCCTGGAGCAGCAGATCGTCATCTGTATGCGCAGCCAGCTCGAAGTCGGCCCCCTGCAACCTCGAGAAAATGGGAAGGGTGGCCTTAACCCCCTCATTGTAGCCAGCCGCGAAGGTGCTGTCGCCAACCTCGTAGAGGAACTTGTGAGACAAGGGGGAGCTCTCCAGGATCCGGACGCCGCACGACAGGCGCTGCCGGGGCGGAATCTTCGCCAGCGCCGCAGAGAACACGTCGCCAAAGGCCCCGGCGCAGTAATCCTTGGCGGAGTCCATAAACTCCCCAGTGTTCCTATAGCCGGAGGTATCAACCAGCCACTCCGGGGTGGCATCCTTGGCAGCAGGGAGCACCGGGACAAGCTTCAAGCCGGCTCTCTCAAGACCGGCTAACTGACTGCGGGATTCAGCCTGCAGGGCTGCAATCTCCCTTCCCTTGGCCGCTGCCTCTGCCTCAGCTCGACGAGCGGCCTCCCGGGCCGTAGCAGCGGCCTCCCGGGCCGTAGCGACGGCCGCGTCGGCCTTAGACTTGATCGACCTCCCTCAGGTCAGCCTCCCTGGCAGCCTCAGCTTGAAGGACTAGAAGCCCAGACTGGATAACAGACGGAAAAATAAAGGCAATGGTCAGAAGATGAACATTAAGGGAAAGAGGTACTCGGATCTGGTAAAGAAGGGATACCTGAAGAGCGGTGGCCAGGGCAGCGCTGGTCGCCTCAGACGACGAACGGCGGGGCAGCTCGAGACCGGCCTTGAGGGCCATCTCCCTCCAAAGCTCCTCCGCCGGGCAGCTCAAAGGCAGGGAGCCGGCATCTTCAAGCAGGGGGCCAGCGGAACCTACCTCACGGCCCCTTTTCTGTTTCTTCTCGGGGACCTTCTCTGTCCCCTTCTGAGGAGCCGCCTTCGTGGGGACGACCGGCGGTGGAAGGGCAGCTTCAAGGGCAGGGGCCCCGGAACCCTGAGCCAGCATGGTGGCAATCAAGTGCTGCTCCCCCTCAGCAGTTCGTCGGGCAGCATCAGAGGCCGAGGAGTTGGAATCCGATGCGGGGGCGTTCTTGGCCTTCGTCAGTGCGGCTTTAGCAGCGGCCGCCTTGGCCTTCCTTGTTTTTAGACACTCGGCGTGATTCATCTGAGCTCTGTCTGGCGGAGAACCTGCAGGAGAACAATAAAGGGTTAGAAGACGAACAGAGAATGCAAAAGGACACTCACCTCGAAGGACAGGACCGCCCGGTGCCCCGAGACGAGCGTCGAAGGGTGGAAAGAGTCCAAGGACACGGGCGGTACCTATGCCTGCCCGCGAGAGTGCCTCGAAGGTCAGGTAGCCAGCTATGGGGCGAATGCCGCCCTGCAGGATGCCTTCCACGGCCTCACTCAGATCGTCGGTCAACTCCGGCGACTCTATCTTCGGGGGGTAGCCATTCCAACGAACTGGGAGGGGAGGACCATCATAGCGAAGGAAGAAGAACCGGTTTTTCCAGTCATGGATGGAGGAGGGGTAGCTCTTAAACAGCCTCCTCCCCGGACGAGCGGCCACGCTCAGATACCCGTCGGAGTTCTGGGGAGTGATCCGGAAGAAGTAGTGGAACATATCCAGGGTGGCATCGACCCCCGCAAGTTTGCAGCGCACCAAGAAGGCCGATATGAACCTATAAGAGTTTGGCATGAATTGCGTCGGGGCCACTTGGAAGCAGTGGAAGAACTCCACATAAAATGCGTGAAGGGGAAACCGCAGCCCGGCTTCAACGGAGTCCAAGTGAAGCATGATCATCCCTGGGCGTCTCCTCATCACGTGCTCGGCGCCTCTCACGCTCCAGACAAACGGCGGGGGGAAGAAGGTGCGGATTTTGTTAAGAGCCACGCGGGAGAGGACTTGATCATGGTCGAGGGCGCTTCTGATCGGACAGATGTGGCGCTCCGTGTCCGTAGGGATGCCCAGGTCGTGCACCTCCATGTCGGAGCCTGATTCGGCCTCCTCCCCAGAATCATAATCGGCGGGGCGCTCGTTCAAGGGGACTGCATCAATAACGTCTACTGTCCCATCGGCGTTCCCGTCCCCGGCGTCACTCCCACTACCTTGGGAAGTGTCATCCGGCTCACCATCAGCCCGGATGGTCCCCACTGTCGTGGCCGAACCAGAGGTCCCAGAAACACTGGCCTTTCCCGGGGAACGTGCATTCGCATCGTCAGAAGAGGGGCCCGAAGGGGAACCCGACGAACCGGAATCGGAACTTGATGAGGTCTCCATCGAAGTCATTTCGGCTAGGAAACAGAACAAAGGAAAGAAGCAGAGGGGGGAAATTACCTTACAAGGGGTTTAGCCGAACTCGGAAACCGCGCAGAGAACTCGAAGAACAGCGGAGATTCTAAAGCAAGGGAGCAGAAATTGGGAACCCTAGTTCAGGGGGAAAACCCGGCATTTATAGGGGAAGCACCGTTTAAGAGGCCAACGAGGGGTTGACACGTAGCAAAGAGCGTGGTCCGGCTCACGCGCCGTGCGTGGGATGGAAGCGTAATGATGACACTTCCTCGGGAAAATGCACCGCCGCAACATCAGCCGTCACCTCGTTTCCTGAACCGTCGACAGCTGTCAAGCACCATGACCACGAGCGTACGCTTCCAACGGATGCAGAAAACACAAGTATCAAGACACGGACGTCTACTTCGAGGGAATTCATACTTCCTTATGTCCTGCGCAAGCCCAGAACATCAGAAGTGGGGGACTTGTGTTGGGTTAAGGGCCCAAGCCGAGGTCCGGCCCACTAACCCATTTTGCCAGACGGACGTCCAGTTAGAACACTAGGCCGGCCCACAGGCCCATGTTCTTTGAGGATGGACGAACGTCTGGAGTTGGGGGTTCAGGCCCCAGCGGCTCCTCCCGACGAATGTCAACGTAGGGATAAGGAGCAGGGCCGCGGGCCATCGGGGATGACGACGAACGTCCCCATGACAAGCCTATAGTCATCGGAGGAGGCCCAGTCCACATGGTGAGTATCTATCAAGGCCAGGAGACGAACAGCCGGTATCTCCTGAGGGTCACTTGGGGGGATCCAGCTCACTTCCCGGGTGGACGAACGTCCCCACTGATTAGGCGGGAAGCCTAGATTCTGGCGGGAAGTGCATTTAATGCTGAAGATTTGGTAGTTGGGGCACCAGCGGTCCACAGGCTGCCACGTCAGCACAGCCACATGCCCATTGGTGGGTATAAATAGAAGCATTTATTTCATTGTAAAGGGTTGGCAACTTTCTATTCTTAGCACTCTAGCTATTGTATTCTTACTCGCAGCATTTCTACTGCCTTGTAAGACGAACGGCCGACGTGCCTTTTTTAGCAAGTAGGTTGTACTTAGGGGAGTTATTACGAAGTTAATAATACCTATTTACATTGCCTGCTATTTCTCTTGTTTCCTGATCCATCCGAAAGTTGTTGGGCTAGAAATCCATACACTCACTCCACTCGAAATCTTTGGGCTTACGTGTTGGGTCCAAGGGTTGAAGGAATTAACCTCAACAATATTCATAAAAATTCATCTTTACTAAACGAACACTACAGAATAATAATGGTAATAATTATCAGTTAAAAATGTGAACTATAATTAAAAATATAATCAAATCTTATTATTACTCCTAGAAAATGACTAATTAAATTAATAAAAAGTTGGGAATACTTACCAAATTGAGCAAAGCACTGCTATTCATGGTAAATTAAAGGAGATGTGCATTGGCGTTGCCTTCAGCTTGACGTCGTTGCCGACTCACTGCCAATGACCGACTTGCATGAGGAGCGACGAAGCTATTGTTGTGCACGTGTTGCTGCCGGCGGTCACGTCTGTCCAAGCCCGTCACAGTCTTCCGAGTCTTTCGCCTCCGCCTCGCTCGAGCTGTTGCGCTGTTGTATATCTTTAGGGTTGGTTGTGGCCTACTCCGAAAGCTCCGAGCTAGAAATAGATATGTAATACAAAAAAAATAAGAATTCACGATAGTTATCAACGTAATAACCACCGCGCGTCTCAGTTAGTATTTAAAATAATTGTTTTAATATAATTTTATACAATAACCAGTGCATTTATTTCAAAAAATAAAAATTTAAAGAAAATAAAAATACCGTGTCAGGTATTATTAAGGAATCACTAAGCATGTGTCGTACTTTTTTTAATACTCCCCACCCGTCCCAAAACTATAGTTACATTGCAGATTTTATAATTGGAACTATAAATCAAAGTTTACATATTCCTTTCACAATTCAGCAGATTCAGTTAGAACTTTATCAACTTACGCAAATACAACCAGTTTGAATGTTACCAAATACTATCATTATTTTGGACTAACATTATTCTAAAATTTTGGACTAACATTATAATGTTTTTTTTTGGCATAATTTTTTTGGGGACCAAAACTAGTAATTTTTTTGGTTCAGTCGAATACAAAGATGTTATCATCGTACTGTCTAAGATTTATTTATATAACAAAATTTTGCCAAATTACTAAAATTTTGGAATAATAAAATTAAAAAGAGCCTTGATTTGTTTTTTTTTTTGCTAAAGGAGCAAGAGTAGGAGCGTTTACCTGCTGCAACATACACTCCGTCCGTATATTCGAACTTGCCAGGTTGGCAATCCGGCAAGTCTTCTTCCGCGCCATGATCTCCAGCCTTTGACCGTGACGTCATCAGTTCTTGCTTCTTCAATTCCTTCCTCTCAGAAACAAAAACCAGAGATCTGAAGAAAAATTTGACCGTTGTAATCGAATTTTCCAGTTGGCGAACCCGCTCCCTCTAATATAAACATATATCTACTCATAAGTCGTACCCGTTACCATTCGAACTTCAAATCCCCTATTCTCCTTTTTTGATTTGTCGCAGAAACAAAACCCAGAAAGACAGAGTCTGGTTCCTGCGGCAAATCCAATTCAATTCAATTCAATTTTGGTATGCGTTCTACTCGATAATCTTGAATTACAATAACCTTCTTCCTTGATTCTTGATGCAAAGTTCTTTTATGGCTGGATGGTGATCGATGACTAAACCTGAAAGCTCAGAACTGCTTGAGATGATCGATGACTGATGAGCAAGCAATAATGTCAGGTATAAGGTTTTATAATATCTTCCTTTGTCTCGATCAGAAACAAACCCAGACTGCCGACAGAGTGTTCTTGTTCCTGCGGGTAAACCCCAATCATCTTGATCGAATATATACCCTGTTCTAGCTAATTTGAATAACAATTATCTTCTTTGTTGTTTCTTGATGCAGCGCTGCAAAGTAAAGGATGGGGATCGATGACTAAAACTGAAAGATCGAGTTGCTCCATAGCTTTCTTTCCTCAACACAATTCTTCTTGATAGAGAAATTCTTCCGATCCTTTTTGCAAACCTGGTAATTATTAAACCGATGACCAGTTTTCTATGGATTTTCTGACTACTATGCATCTGCAGTTTATATATACTTTCATTTATGAGTACCCATCTGTTTATTTTCAAATCATCACCCGGTCCTTGGTGAAATCTGTTCATATATGTTGTTTTAGCAAATTTTGTGCTAACTTAAACAATCAAATAAATGGAAAAGATGAATTGGGATGCGTACGTACAAGAATGAAGATAAATTAGCAAGAAGAATATGTATATATATTTAGTATATGAGTATCCAAGTACAAGAATAAGAGATTCGTATATATGAATTATGTATACTAGACTTCTAGCATGAATCTTAATAGTGGAAGGAAATAAAGAATTAATTGATGGATGCCAGGATCCTTTCTCCCAATACACCGCCACTTTTATACTTAGAGCTGCTATTGTGGTTCCAAATCTCTAGCCACTTCCTTCTCTCATGCCTGGAGTTTGTTATTTACTCCTATCACTCCACGTTTGCCCAAGTCAAAACTCCATATTCTTATCCATTTTGGTCCGGGTCATCTGGTTGCTTGCATCCTTTAATTATTCTTGATGTTTTAATGAATGAGTAAATCATGAACGGAATTACTGTTGAAGCAGATTGATTACTCCTTCAGCGGAGAATGGAGATATTCACTGTTTTAATTTCATGTTATATATACAATCATATGCACCGCGTTTAACTCTGAAAATGACTAAAAACTACTTCGTATATCATTTTGAGAGCCCCTTGATCTTCCATCCATCTTTTCTCTTTTTCCCAATCAGTGCTAGTGGCTGTATCAGCAAAAATAAGTGGAATCTTATATACTGAGCTTTCATTATTTTATGAACAGATAGAACAAATTCAATTATGGTGGAACAAGTCCTGCATGATGGAACAAGGACCAATTCCCCTATTTATTGTATTAATCATCCGAAAAATAATGGTTTTATTCTTTTTTTGAGGAAATAATTGTTTTATTCTTAAAAAGCAGCATTTCTTTTAAGCTACTACTACGTAATTATTAGTACAACACTGCATCCCATGGATTTTATTAAACAAAACAATACTTTTCAAATCAATTGAATACAATAATAATGCTACAAAGAACAGAGTTCAGTAGTCGTCAAACAATATGAATACAATATACTACTTGTGTATATTACAGTTGGATATTACCTGATTATATTACAGTTGGAATACAAGTAGTTAGTTAACATTCAAATAATCATCTTTCATTGCAATTGGATTACAAACTTGTGTATTAAAGAGCACACACCTCTAGCATCCTCACCAATGTAACCTTTTGTTTTCCACTTACATGCAGGCGATTTACCTAAATTAAAATCCAGTCGGCACTGCAACCAAGTTTAGGATGGGGATGACTAAAACTGAAAGATCGAGCAAGGAATGTCAGGTATTATATACCAAGAAATCAGGTATCTAATATACTCCTTTCACTAATAAGGGGATTAACAAGTCCGCCCTGCATGATGGAATCCGCTATTACTTGTTACTTGTAAATGACCGAGAGTAAATGGTAGGATCTTTAATGCCAGATAGGTCCACCAATTCTCAATTTTCATCTTTTCTTAACAGCCTATCCGTAATGTTATTATTCACCAACTTGAGTGCATTCATCATTTTCCTTCTTCCACCCACTTGACTCGAACATGACTTAGGTCACTTCTTGTTGCAAAATTGATGGTTCCAGTCAATCAAATATTTCCAATATCACTTATAAAACACAAAAATATAGATGAAATTAGAGAAGAAAACATTAAACTCACTAGGAAATTATGAACTCGAATTTTAATTATAAATCCAAAAAATTTAGAATATATAAAATTCATTATCAATGCTTTAAATAAATCTAAACGGATTAATAATATTAGTACTACAAATACATACAAGATTCGGATATAAGGATAACAATACCCATCTTTAAAACATACTATTTTTTAAGGGAGTCCCAAAATCTCTAAGCTTAAAAATTTCAATATACGCATATAAACCCCTAATCTGAAACCCTAAACCCTAAACAAAACCCCTAAACCTGAAACCCGAAATCCCGAAACCCCAAACTCAAAAACTGAAACCCGAAACTCCTAAACCTTAAATCCTAAACCCAAAACCCTAAACTCGAAATCCTAAAATCGAAACCCTAAACCCTAAACTTTAACTTGAAACCCTAAACTCTTAACCCTAAACCCGAAACACTAAACCCTAAAACCCGAAACCCTGAATCTTGAACATTTGTACCCTGAACCCTAAACCCGAAACCTGAAACTCTATCTTCGAACCCCGAACTCCGAACTCCGAAACCCTGAACCATGTACCTTGTACCCTGAACTCTATACCTTGAACCCTAAACCCGAACCCATGAACCCTGAAACCCTAACCCCGAACTCCGAAACCTAAACCTTGAAACCCGAAACCCGAACCCCGACCCTGACCCCGACCCTGACCTGGAACCCTTAACCCCGAGCTTTGAACCTTGAACCTCGAATACCGAACCCTGACCCTGACCCCTGACCTAGAACCTCGAACCCTAAACCCAGAACTCGGAACTCTGAACCCTGAACCCGAACCCCGAACCACGACCATGAACTTTGGATCCTTAAATCATGAACCTGGAACCCGAATCTCGAACCCTGAACCCTGAAACCTTAAACCCGGAACCATAAACCCTAAACCCAGAACATCAAACCCCGAGCCTGAACCCCGAACCAAAAACCCCGATCACTGAACCCCAACCCGACCCCGACCCTGAACCCTAGACAACGAACCCCGAACCCTAACTTCGAAATCCGAAGCCTGAACAAGGAACCCTGAACCTCGAACCCTGAACCCCGACCCTCCCCGACCCTCGAACCTCAAATCCGAAACCCGCAACCATGAACCCCAAAACCCTGAACCCTGAAACCCTAACCCGGAACCACGAACTCGGAACCCAGAACCATGAATCCCGACCTCGAACCCGAACACCGAACCACGAACCCCAAACCTCAAAGCCGGAACTGCAATCCCCGAACCTTAAACCCTGAACCCCGAACCCCGAAAACCGAACCCGGAACACGAATCCCCGAAAACCGAACCCGGAACCCGGAACCCTAAACCCCAATCTCTGAAACCGGAACCCCGATCCCCGAACAACGAAACCCCCAGAACCCGAACCCCGAACCCGAACCCCGAACCCTGAAACCCCCAGAACCTGAACCCCGAACCCAGAACCCGAACCCTGAAACTCCGAAACCCGAACCCCGAACCCCGAACTCCAAACCATGATCCCGGAGCCCGGAACCTCGAAACCCAAACCCTCAGAACCCCCAAACACTTAACCCCGAACTCCAAACCCCGAGACCCCAGAACTCCAAACCCTGAACCTCGAAGCCTGAACCCCATAACCCCCAAAACCCTGAACACTGAACGCCAAACTCCGAACCCCAAACCCCGAACCTGAACCCGGACCCTGAATCGAGAACCCTGAACCCGAACCCCAAACCCCAAACCCCAAACCCAAAACCCCCGGAACCTGAACCCTGAACACCGAACCCTGAATCCGGAACCCCAAACTCGAAACCCCAAAAATCGAACCCTGTACTCGAACACCTAACCCCAAACCCTGATCCCCGAACCCTCAGAACCACGAACCCGGAACCTCGAACCCCAAACCCGATCCCTGAACCCGGAACATCGATCCCCGAATCCGAACCCCAAAACCCCGAAACCCTGAACCCCAAAATTGAACCCGAACCCGAATCCTCCGAACCCATACTCTGAACACCGAACCCTGAACCCTGAACCCGGAACCCTGACCCTGAACCCCGAACCCTGAACCCAGAACCTCGAACCCTAAAACCCCGAACCGGAATCCGAACCCTGAACCCCGGAACCTAAACCCGAACTCTGAACCCCGGAACCCCCTAAACCCCGAACTCTGAACACCAAACCCCGATACCTGAACACCGAACCACGAACCCCGAATACCGAAATCCGAACTCCAAACCCCGAACCTTGGTCCCGAAACCTCGAACACTGGAACCCCAGAACCCGAACTCTGAACACCGAACCCCGAACCTGGAACCCGAAACCCCAAACCCCACCCCTGAACCCCAAAACCCGGAACCCTGAACCTTGAACCCGAATCCGAACCCTGAACTCCTAACCCTGGAACCCCCTAAACCCAAACTCCGAACACCGAACCCCGAACTCTGATCCCGGAACCTCGAACGCCGGAACCCCCAGAACGTGAACTCCGAACACGGTTTGGGGTTTGGGGTTCCGAGTTCAGGGTTCGGGTTTTGAGGTTATGGGTTCGGGGTTCGGTTCCGGGATCAGGGGTTACGGGTTT